TCTGATGCTTATGCTGCTACTGTGTTAAATGGCAGAGAGTGGCTTTGCTATATTTGCTGTTGTAAGTAGGTAAAAATAGTGCCAGAGCGCCAGAATAATAAAAGCCAACATATTTTTCAGGCAGGTTACAGCATTTTATGTTAATTTAGGCATTAATACAGTGCTTCAGAGGAAAGATCATAGCACTTCACATGAGCACATGCTTGCCTCAGATGCTCAGAAGCCCATGAGTTTTGGTTTGATTGCTCCAATTTATTAAGATGCTCTGGTCCCTCTGTTCAAGACAACAGAAGGACCTTTTGATGTGTCTTGATGCGTGTCAACAATAGACTTTGCAAATCATAGACTTTTAAATTAAATCAGACATACCTGTGCCAGTGATTTTCACCTCACAAAGAACCAGATGCTTGTGGCCTGGTCTGAACACAGTGACGTATCGCCCCAATGCTGATGTGGTAAAGCTGAAGGCAGTCATATCAAGGTTTTTATATTTTATCTTCTGTCCTTGTTCTGTGATGTTGTAAACCCTGGATGATGAAAAATATCCAAACATACAGCTGATCAGACACTGAATACTACTGAACATTATTGCGACAAAAGATGCAAAAGAAGGAACCACTAAGGAAAGCAGTGAGATTGTGATGGTTGCATTTTAAAAACTTCAATGACTTTCAGCTCTCTGAGACTCAGGCAAAAAATATTTCATTGACTTCCATGTTTGAAAACTGCCTCCAAAGATAAATAATTAAAAACAACTATATTGAATAGATTGACATGTTATTCAAAATATTATTTTAAGGTATAAAAATATGAAATAAATCCCATTAAGGTATCATGTTGTTCTTACAGCCTGTTGTTGGTGCCGTTGTTCTCTAGAGAGTTCCCGATGTAGATCTGAGCTCCAGATATGTAAGCTACATCATCTGGTTTAGTATAGATAGAGATGCAGGAAATGTTGTAAATCCCCTGCAGGTCAATTCTCCACCAGGGGTTAGTCTGTTTCTGGGTGCGACAACATGTTCTGGGATCCCCATCAAAGGCTCTGGGAGGGATCAATGGTACGCGTTCTCCATCATCTAAGGTTGAGGACTGAGATGCATTCTTCACTGTCAGATTTTTTCTCTGTTTGTTGCAGAGATCTGGAGATCAAATACAAAAAATAAAAGAAAAAAGATTCAACTTTGTGTTGCATTTAGCTTATATGTAGCTTATCTAACATTTTGATTTATTTCAGCAGAAATTATCTGTTTAACAAAGAATATTTGATCCTACCTGTTGTCTGCACAGCTACATTTTGGGTTGCTGTAAATACCAGAGAAGTTATTGAAATAACACTAATATTTACATTTTTAAAAATCCTTAAAACAACAGATTAATTTCTTTCAAAGTAGATCTGATGTTGTGAATCTGAACTCTTACTTCTCTCTGTAATATTTTTACATTAATGAGAAAGACATTCAGCTGAATAAAATGAGCCACTTACTTATAACCCAGATGAAAACCAAACTCCACAGCATCTTGGAAGGAAAAAAATGTTAGTATGCAGTTAGTGAAAATAGCTGTTGTACACAGTGTACTCAGATTAATGACGGTCTTTCTGAAATGAAACTAGGCAAATAAAAAAAGGAAACTTTCTGTCAGTTCATGTTTAACAGCCTCGCTCACCTCAGCAGTTGGTCCTCGCTCCACTCTGATGTTCACTTAACCGCCTGAGTGAATTTTGTTTCCTCCACTGCAGCTTTCATAGAAATAAATAAATCACACCCTTATTCAAATATTTAGCTGTTAGCTGGTTCATTCAAATTCAGACATTTTTATCTTATTTACATGAGATAAAAAATTAATATTGGTGTGTCCCATATGTCATCTTCACATTGCAATCACAAAATATAAATATGCCCTCAGAGTTTATTTGTGGTATTTCACAGATATACTTTTACACAGTAACATGTAAATGATGTATTTGTCAACTGTTTTTCAAACGAAAAATTGTTGCTTAGTTCCCAGCTACTTCCTGCTACTGAAAATGTTGTTTTTACTACGTGAAATAAACCTTTACCCTACATTGTTTGGGGTTTCACTAATGAAATATGACCTCTTTAGATCATATTAACTTTAGTCACCTTAGCAGGATGTTTCTCACTGTGAGTTTATATGAAATGTTATTTGTGGCTAATTTTCAGATAGGTAAATACATTCATTTTTGTTGAGTGTGAGAGTGAGTAAACAGTGATCTTTTCATCAACAGCTCTGTTCTTCCTGTTTCTTAGTAACCTCAGTTACATTTATGAATGTGCCTTTGATAGACAGAACAGCCTCATTGACAACAGCTGCTCTGACTTTTATAAGAAGTACTACTGAAGTAAATTTAACTAGGTAATCTAAGTACCGCCATACCTACACAATTTAACACTGTAGCAAAGCAGGACTTGTCTTTGTCTGCTTTTTTTCTTGCAATAAACAAAGAAATAAGG